TGCTTCTACTGAGCCACAAACAAACAGACCAAGACACAAAGGTCTAGGAGAAAGTCCAGGACCCTCAAACACTTTCAGGAGAGGGCCAAGGATATAACCATTACATTGGTGGACACTGTCTAGTGATCTGAGATTCAGATCAAGGAATCCTCAAAATCTTTTTATAAAGCTTGGAAACTTTGGTCCTGCCAGGAAGTGTCCCCTTGTTCATGTTGCCAAGAGGATTTGGGCACATTCAAGTGGCCTTACAAAGGAACTGTAGATGCCCTCAATAGCCTACTTGAAGGCAGAGGTTGGTCTGCTGACCAAGTTCTTCAGTGCCCTGTATCTGAGAGGGTAGGTCCCCAATATACATTTACTCAGCAATGCAAAGCTAATGTAATGGCACTCACCTATAATCCCAGTGCTCAGCAGGTAGAGCCAGGAGAATCAAGAGTTTCAGGCCAGCTTCAGCTATATAACATTTTCAGGCCAAACTGGGCTACATGGCACTTTGTGTCAAAAAAAACAAAAAAACAAAAACAAAAACAAAAACTGACAGCATGGTGGTGCACACCTTTGATCTTAGCACTCTGGAGGCAAGAGGCAGGAGGATCTCTGTGAGTTCAAGGCCAACCTTGGCCCGTATGGTAGTGAACTCCAGGACAATCCAACTGCTTGTGTAGCGCTCCTCTTTCCTTGTGTTCCTACATAGTTCTTGGCACTCCAGTTTGCCCTGGCACAGGATCCAGGCTGCTGACTGATAGTTATATAAGGTGAAGAAATCCACCAGGCATGGCCTCACCAGAAATGCATCCAGGTTTGCAAGACCTAAAGACCATAAAAACATGGAACAGAAAAGCCTACTTTTGCAAAATTATCCAAACACATTGACCTGCCCTTTGCCTAAATATTTTTGTTTTCTGTTTTTTTGAGACAGGATTTCCCTGTATTGGGGCCTGTCCTGGAACTCACTCTGTAGACCAGGCTGGCTTTGAACTCACAGAGATCTGCCTGCCTCTGCCTCCCAAGTGCTGGGACTAAAGGCATGCACCACAACACCTGGCCTTTTGCCTAAATCTTAAGAGCTTGGCTTTGACAAGTGAGGGCCACCGAAGTCTAATTTCCTCCCACTTCTGGATTAAATTGTAAGAAGCCATGCCTGCTAAACAAGTTGCTTGGACCCCTCTGTGTATCTGTGAAGTCCCTGAGTTTTCAGGACAGTTCTTTGGATCATGTATGAAATGATACATCTTGATACTTCAAAAAGGAGGAAGGCAGAGAAGGAGGGAGGGAGGAATGGAGGAAGTGAAAGAGGGAATTAAACCAACCTGGGGCTAGACAAATGTCTTTGCTTTTCTTACAGAGGGCCCAAATTCAGTTCTCAGCACCCACATCAGACAGTTCATGACTGCCTATACCTCCAGCTCTAGGGCATGCAAAACTCTCTTCTGTCCTCTGAAAACACACACACACACACACACACACACACTTTTTTTTAAATATTTATTTTTATTTTACATATCGATCCCAGTTCCCTCTCATTCACTCCCCACACACACTTTAAAAACACAACTCTGAAGGGTGTGTAACTGGGGGTGGAAGTACCAGTTTTGCTCTCTCTCAGAATACCATCTAACAGCTGCAAAGCACCAAGAAAAGTGAAAGGGATCTTTAGAAGGAAAATATTTTCCCTTACTGGGAAGCAATAATTATGATGCCAAGCAATACTCACTGTCTAAAGCTTAACATTGGATAGGTAAGAAAACTTAATTGGCAATCTTTCAGATTTGAAATGTGGTATTTTTTGATAGAAACTTGACTAGCAGGAGCCCATAATGGATGTTTGAAACACCATATACAAAAGCCCATCAGCATGAGGATGACTGAGTTAGTCACCTGCCCATCTGGCAATGGACACTCATAGTGAATAGTGTTGGGAGAGGTCATTCTGTAAATGTTTCTCCTATTGGCCAATGAATGTTTCTCACTGTTGGCCAATAGGGAAGCAAGATAGATGGGACTAGGAGACTAGGAGGAGAGGGGAAGTAGGGAGGAGTTTCAAGATGTAGGTCCAACATGGTAGAACTCCAGACCCTCTCTCTGGTAAGCCAAGACCACATGGACACTTAGATTAGTAGAAATGGGTTAATATTTAAGACAGAGCTAGCCAATAAGAAATGCTAATAATGGCCAACAGCTTTGTATCTAATACAGTGTCTCAGTGTATTGTTTGGGGCTGGAGCAGCTCTTGGACCAGGCCTATGGGAAAAACCTACTCAACAAAAGAGTAAATTTACTGCATCATGATTGGGCTTTTTCTGCCATGCCCATGGCCTTGTACGTGCTAAATAAATGCTCTACTATTGGGCCACCCACCCATCCCGCATCAATCCTTTAAAAAAAACTTATCTGTAATAATTTAATTGTAATGATTGTTGCCTGTGACCCCATGATTTTGTTCCACTGATGACAAGGAATGCCTTTAGACTCCAAAGGCAGAGGATTCAACCAGCATGTTTTTAGGGGGAAAAAAAATAAAATTGAAGGGAAAGGGTCCCAACAAAGAATACCATCCAAGCAGCAAGGGCTGTATTTTTTTTAATATGGCTGAAGAACAAAGAAAAGTGGAGTGTCAGGTAAAGGGTGTCCTGTCTTCTTCAAGCACACAAGATAGATGACTTTTTTTCTCTGGTGCCAGAACTCTGCCATAAACTAATACAGTGTGGTGACGTTTTGTTTATGATCTAACAAATAAAGCTTGCCTGGAGATCAGAGTGCAAAACTACCCCTGTGGAAGCCAGGGAGTGGTAGTGCAAACCTTTAATCCCAGAACTCAGGAGACATACAGATGGATCTGAGTTCAAGTCCATCCTGGGCCACATGAAAGTCAGTTAGTTTGAAAGAGAAACAGCTCACACCTTTAATCCCAGCACTAGGGAGTTGGAAATGGTGATATGACTGGGTGGAAAAATGACTATAAAGTGGAAGCAAACAGGAACACATACTCAGTGCAATCTAGGCAGTGCAGTTTGGAGATGCAATCAGAAGATCGGATCTCCCCTTTGGTTTGAGCATTGGTAGAGATGAGAACTCTTTGGTAGCTGGTTGCTTTGCTTCTCTGTCTTTGGGTTTTTATTATTCATGCTACAATACAGTATCTAAAGGTCATAAAACAGAGGGGCTTTGATCTGTGGAGTTTTGGCAATCCAGACAGCCAGGTCACACACTGGTGACTCAACTGCTTAGATTCCCTATCTCCTGCCCAAACACAGTCTTGCTAAATTTCCCAGGATTGCCAGTCTCCTTGGGTTCCCAAGTAGCTGGGAGTAACAGGCCTGGCTTGTTTATAACTTTTTATGTTGACTGCACTTTGTTTCTACTTTATATTCATGTTTACTTATTGTAGTGCTGAAGATTGAACCCAGACCCACTGAGCTACATCCACTTGCCAACTTCACCATTTATAGTAAATGTCTTTTATAATTGGCAAAATCCAACAAACCATTTCCATTTAAACCATTTAAAAGCAATTTAGAGGTAACTGAGAGCACAACCTTAGAAACCAAACTGCCAGGTTCAAATCCTAGCACCTCCCATTTGTTCTACCTTTGTCACTTGCTGAAGTTCCTATTCATTAAAAGTATGTAGGTGGTGGCAACCCCACACCTTTAATCCCAGCACTCGGGAGGCAAGGGCAGGCAGTTCTCTATGTGTTCAATACCAACCTGGCCTACAGAGTGAGTTCCAGGACAGCCAAGGTTACACAGAGAAACCCTGTCTCAAACCATCCCCACTTCAACACTTCTCAGTGACATCTATTTCCTACGTAATGGAGTCAATGCTCTCTCTTGCCCTGGACCACTCCCACTTAACACTATATGGCCAATGTCTGTAAGATTGGTATCTTCAGCTTAGATGTTTCTCAAAGCACATGACATGGGGAGCAAGTGTATACTGATGCTTCCGAATGCTGGGACTAAAGGCATGTACCACCAACACCGGGCCACTTTTCATTTTTGTGGGAAGAATCTTTGAAGACAAGAGATCACTCAGTTCTACTTTATGAAACACTAAATATTAAACTCTGCCTTTAGCTATGTTTATTTCCTGAAATCTTTAGGCACACATACATCTCCCAACACTGAAAACAGTTTTCAAAAAAAAAAAAAAAAAGGATCATCACCAAGGTCTACAATTTACCTCTAAAAATTAAAGCTTGTAGCAAAGGTTAAAAATTTCTGTTTATGGTTGGGCAGTGGTGTTTTAATCCCAGCACCTCAGAAGCCAACACAGGTGGATCTCTGTGAGTTGCCAGCCTAATCTACAGAGTTCCAGGATAGCCAGAGCTGTTACTCAGAGAAAACCTGTCTCAAAAAAAGTGTTTATAGTGATATTGGGTATAGCTAGGTATTAAAGTGACAATGAATGAAGAAAATACATAACCCAGTACCCTAGACTTCCTAGCTCCCAAACTGGGTGGCCCATGGCTGCCTATAACTCCAGTTTCAGGATATCTAATGACTTCATCTGACCTGTTGGTACTGTGCACACATGGTCACATCATACACTCTGCCCCCACACCAAACACACACACTATAAATCTTAAACAGGTTTTCAGCTTTAAACCTTTGATTCAATTCTAAAAGAACTCTTTTGTTGTTAAATTAGAAATAAAGATGCAGGTGTGTGTGGTGGCGCATGCCATTAATCCCAGCACTCAGGAGGCAGAAGCAGGCAGATCTTTGTGGGTTTGATGACAGCCTGGTCTACACAGCAAGTTCTAGGACAAGTTTCAGAACAGCCAGAGCCGCATAGAAGAGACCCTGACTCAAAAGTCTGTCATTTATAAGACTGAAGTGTACCTTGAAATTTTTATTTAATAATCTAAAGGTTACAAAACTGTTAGACTTTCTGTTAAGATGAAAACAAGAAGGCTATATCCATTTTCTAATTATTAAAAAGTTATAAACTTCATAACAGCCTTAATATAAGATTACTTAAAAAGAAAAAGAAACAAATCCAGAGGGAGAATGTTTAATAAATGGTGTTGAGACAAATAGCTGTTTTGATCAAAAATAAAATTCTTAAATCTTACACCATATAGAAAAATACATATATTATGATGGATCAAAGATTAAGAAATAAAAATGCAAATATCCCAAATTCTTCACAATTTTGGGAAGGCTGACAAGTTCTCTGAAACCCATCTATGGAACCCAGATTATTATATAGAAGAGGAATCATTCATTTCAACTTCTATAGTATTAAAATATCAATGTCAAATATTACATGTACTTTTAAGATTAGGTCACATGCAAAATGATGAAGATAAACACATTATTACTGTAACTTTATAAAACCTTCAAACTGGAACTAGGAACAAAAGCATGTCAACACAAATGGATGATGACTGTTTAAAAGATAAACACACCAATTTGAGTTTGAGTGCATACCATACATGTCTATTAAGCCTGTTAGAAATTGAAATCAGCTAAATCTGTAGTTCTTGAAAGCCAACAAATGCAATGTCATTCTCAAATTTGACTAAAATAATAAATACAAATTATGTTCAATGAGTAACTATAACATTCAATCATCTATTGTAGGAATTCTGTATTAAAATGCAATACTTTCACCTGCATTAATTTCAAACAATGGAAAAACATTTGCAGATAATTAGCACTAAGAATGCAATTATACCTTACCATGGGGAAAAAAAAACTGCAATGTTAGAAATCATACGTTTGTATAAATCTACAACAAAGCCGTGGGCAGTCTACATTGTGATATTCTAAAGGTGAAAACAATATTTAAGTTAACAACAAATTTACTTGAGGCAAAATATGTTTATTACAGAAGAGGATCTTATAGTAAGCAAGGCAGCATTAGATCAACCATTTCAGATTATTTTTAATGACGTTTAGCTTTAAAATTGTAATAAAGATGAACAAATTCTAACATGCTCTTCTCTTATAAATGGGATGATGTAGAAAAGCAAAGCTTCAATGTATAGGGGTTGGAACCATCTGTAAATGTAAAAGTTAAAAAAGTGAAATTAATATTCCATCAAAATTTTTAAATCAGCTTGAATTAGTAAATTATTCTATCATTTTATAGTATTGGAAACAGGTCTTAAGTTTGTATGTTCTTGATTTTCCTTTTCTTAGAGCACACTTGTTTTTCCCTGTGTACCTAACCTAAATCTTTTCTTTAGACTAAAAGGAGAATTGTAGTGAGATATTAACTTTGTTGGCATCCTTTGGCACTGACCACGACCATTGGGGGTGGAGACGGGCGGAAGTGACCTGGGGGAATTAGGTTTGAGGAGCCCTGGAGCGCTCTCTTGCTTGCAGCACAAGGACAGGAGACCATCTGGAGGCATCCTTGGGACCAGGAACCTGCTGGTGTTCATCTGTCTATATTGTAAGTTATTTCTCCCTGAATAAACATCTACTTGTTAATTCTGAGACTTATTAAATCACAATAGGAATACAAAGAAGGAAATTTTAAAATATTTGTTTATGTGTATGAATGCTTTATCTGTAGACATACCATGTGAATCTCTGGTGCCCTTAAGAGGCCAGAAGATGGTGCCTGGTTCCCTGTACTGGAGTCATAGGGAGCCATTATATGGGTGCCAGTGCTCCTCATCACTAAGCCATCTCTCCAGTTCCCCTGACCTAATAGACAGTAAGCTCCATAAAACAGTCTGTTACCATATTCCTATTGTTCTAAGCTTAAGAACATACTCAATTTTTCAAGTGAATTAATTCATCATTTGCAGATCAATAGTATCAGGGTTAATCTGTTGTCACAGGAAGAGTTCACATTCATAGAGCATATTGCCAATGGTACAGTATCTTAATACTAACTTAAAAAGTTTAAAACGTTCAATTACATCAAATCGATTTACATTTGCTTCTGTATAATTTATTTCAAAGATGTATTTCTCTCAAACGATTTAGGTAATTTTCAAACACAAAATACAGATTAATGAATTCCTACACGCTTAACCATTAAGCTTCTATGATTTTCAACATGTGGCAGTATTATTTCCTGCTGGCCCTTCACAAACATTTTTTAGATGTTATGACATTTAAAAGCATGTTTCCACACACAAAACCTTCAAGTGATTTTTAAAATTTTTAGCCCATCCTCTGTATTAGAATAAAGTCAAGCAGTTTATGCTACTCAGGTCATCCCTGGAGCTCGCCAGGTCAAATAACATCCTCACCTCAGTGTCTACAAGAACTACAAGCAAGTACTACCACCCCTAAATGATACTGCCTTGTTTCCTTTCTTTTCTATTACCATTAAATAATATTTATTTTTCCCATACATTTTTTATTATTTATTTTTGGAAATAGGTTCTCATATAGCCTAGGCTGGCCTCAAATTCTTAATCCTACTGAATGCTAAAATTCCAGTGTAACACTATACCTAACTAGTATTTTGTTTCTTTTATTTTGTTTTTCTTGGGAACTCAAGAGATCTACCTGCCTCTGCCTCCTGAGCGCTGTGATTAAAGGTGTACACCACCACAGCACAGCCTAACTTTTAAAAGATGAAATTTTATACCCTTGAGGTCCAGGATCCAAGTAAATCATACACCATAAAGTTTCAAGACTTAGAAGTTAATTGTTCTTCATAGCATATGAAAAAACAACAACGAAAAATTAAAAAACAAGGCCATTTACCTTTCTGGAGACAAATTAAAACCACGGAATACCATTTTCAGCTATCAATACTGGCAAAAACTGAAGGTCTGACTCAAAATTCTAATCCTGGACAATGTGCATTATAATATATCACAGGTGGTTATATAACCATAACCTCCTAAAGGACAATCATTTTGTCAAAATATATACCTTAACTTCCTGAACTAAGGAAACTGACCTTTAAATACACATTAAAAATGATACCTATTGGACGGGTGGTGGTGGTGCACACCTTAAATCCTGTGTGTGTGTGTGTGTGTGTGTGTGTGTGTGTGTGTAAAACAACAAAAACAAAAGCTAGTTATAAAGCATAAGTCTCCATAATTATGGGCTTCTGGCAGGATTACAGGTGGGGAAGGATTCTTAAAGGGCTGGCTACTGGGAACTTGACCATGCTCCAGAGAGTATACAGACAACAGAAATTGAAATTGAGTATTTGTTTAGTTTCTTCCTTTTGTGTGTTGTGTAGCGGGTGGTGGTGGGGGAGGAGAGTAGACCTTGGGAAGTGAGTGTGATCTGGGTGCATGATTCTAAATTCCCAAATAATCAATAAAAATATGTTGAAAAGCAAAAAACAAACAAACAAACAAAAAAAAAAAAAAAAAAAAAAAAGCCAGCTATCAGCCAGGTGGTGGCATATGCTTTAATCCCAGCACTCAGGAAGCGGAGGCAGCCAGATCTCTGACTTCAAGGTCAGCCTCCTCCACAAAGCAAGTTCCAGGACAGCAAGGGCTACACAGAAGTCCTGTCTCAAAAATAACAACAACAACAAAAAAGCTAGTTAGCATGGGTAAACAGAAATAATCAGGGAGTCCATTAGTAAGGATACTGGCTTCAAACTTCTCAGTGCTGGGATTAAGGTATGCTGAAGAATAGTGTTTTTAAGTACCAGGTGTGGCACATATTTTTAATTCCATCACTCCAGAGATGAAGGAAGACTACTCAATTACACCATGGTATACATATGACAGAACAGAATAAGCAATGCAGACCACTACCAATATTAATTTATTAAAAACAGTGATGTTAACATTGAATCACTCATTCTGAAGAGAGCCTAGCTACGCTATAAAGATATAAATAATATATAATAAATATATATTTATTTATATATATAAGTATATATAAATATATAAATATAATATAAATAAATAAATAAATAAATAAATAACTTATAAATGAGTAAACTTGGAAGTGGATTTATCAGGCAGTAAAACATTGAGATAATTATAGAACCACACATTTTGATTACACCTTTATGAGACAACAATTCAGCTGAACTGTAACCAAATTACTGGCCCTGAGAAAGTTAACCAATGTCTTTGTTTTTTGAGACAGGGTTTTTCTATATAGACCTAGCTGACCCAGTACTTCCTCTACAGACCAGGTTGGCATCAAACTCAGATCTGTTTGCCTGTCTCCTGAGTGCTAGGATTAAAGGCATGCACCACCAAAGCCCAGCCTATTTTAATCTGTTTCGCTGTATGGTAATTTGCATATAGCAATAGATATACACTGTATTGTGGGACTGTATTGTGAGAGTCTATGCCCGTTTTTCTTCTTATAAAAATTTAAAAAACATACAACTTGACATAAAAGGTAAAACTTTTGTCAATTCCGAGCATTCAAACCAACAAAGATCCTGACTGTGATCAAAATCATTGTCAATATGATTCAAAACTGTCAAAAGACTTGTTATCTTACTTCCTCTGAGCATTTCTCTTCCTTTTTAGTCATGCTCAAGTCTACATAAAAATGTCCTTATTAAGCCCCAACACAACTCATGAGTTCTGGATCTTTTTTTTAAAGATTTATTTATTTATTATGTATACAGTGTTCTGTCAGCACACCAGAAGAAGGCACCAGATCTCATTACAGATGGTTGTAAACCACCATGTGATTGCAAGGAATTGAACTCAGGACCTCTGGAAGACCAGCCAGTGCTCTTTAAGCTCTGAGCCATCTCTCCAATCCCTGAAAAAATTTTTCTAAAGGTTTATTTTCTTTAAGGAGAATTTCAGAACCATGTGGCTCTATTTAGGTTCCTGAACAACCCTATGGAGATAAATAGCCTCAAACCCCACCAAGATCCCATGTTCTTCCTGAGCACCTCTTTCATTCTCCTAACTCTTATAATCAGCATTAAAACCCAACTGTCTCACACATACATGGCCAGTATTTCTGAAGGCAACGTCTACTGAATCACTTACTTGGGACTCGTATCTGGTAGTGATTGAGTGCAGTAAGAGCTTCCACTGCATCCGTTTTGCATTTCCACTCCAACAGCCCAGAAAGTGTTTTGGCAGAAGCTAAATCAAAACAAAGACAAATCCAGTTGTTACTTATTGTCAGCAGCAATCTTCCTGCAAAGCTTGAAGACTTTTCAAAAAAAATGTTCACTTACCTTTCGCATCAAACACCTTATATTTGATAAATGGAAGAACTTCATGGTCATTACACAACTGCCAAGGAAAGGTAAATCTTCATCAGAAATATAGCTAAATAAAATTTTATTTGAAAAATCTTGCTTTAATAGTAGCATTTAAGTCCATACTATGTATGTTTGGGTTAATATTAAGTTCTAAGAGAAAAAAACAGTGAAGGACTAGAGAGGTGGTTCAGTGATTAAGAGCACTGCTTGCTCTTCCAAAGGTCCTGAATTCAATTTCCAGCAACCAAATGGTGGCACACAACCATCTATAATGAGATCTGGTGCCCTTTTATGGCCTGCAGGCATACAAGCAGGCAGAACACTGTATACATAGTAATTAAATCTTTAAAAACCCTAAACCAGTGAAATTGTAAACTATGGGAATAATTTTATATACAAAACAGACTTTTTAAAATTAAACTATATTTTCTCAGACTTTATGAAGGGTTAACTAAATACTGAAGAAAGGAAGTACATTGTTTCTGAAATGCTCCTATAGTCACATAAGTTATAGGCGCAGAGAAAACTGACAAAATTTTATTATAGGTGAGATTTAAAGTAACTTTTTGGTTGCTTTTTATTTATTTATTCACCCATCCATTTATTTATTTGTTCATTCATTTGAGCCAGGCTCCTGCTGCTTAACCCAGGATGCATGCATGCATGCATGCATGCATTCATTCATTCATTCATTCATTCGAGCCAGTCATGGCAATCCTCCTGCCTCTCAGCATTCCAAGTGGTAGGACCACACTGCAGTCAAAAAGATTTCAGAAGCTTCCGGTTAACCAGTCTAGCCAACTGGCAAGCTCTAGGTAGATTCAGTAAGAGACCGTGTATTTAAAACAGAGGGTGTGAGTGTGCATGTGTGAAATGCTTGCTTTGGCAATGTTTTTACTAAAGTTGGATACAAAGAATGTTATCTTCCCCAAAGATGACAAATTCATAAACTGTTCATGAGTTTATAAAGCAAATTTAATTTAAAAAAAATTTCATTAATATAAACAAAGTGGAAATCAACAAAGGAAAACACGCACCATTCCTGAACTCTAGCCTGATAATAAAAAAGCAGGATTTTAGAAAACTTTTAAAATGAAATGAACTATGAATTATCACATAAACTTAAAACATAAAGATATTCTATACACTTTTCTTCAGTGCCTACCTTTGTGAAGGTCTCTTCTGTGACACACAGGGGAACATTATAATAATGCAACACACATGAGGGTGGTTGTATTATATTCTTAGATGCTTGGCCAGCACTTGTAAAGCGATTATTTTTACTCATTGCAAAATCTTTGTAGCTACTTGTACCATCCTCCAGCTCAAATATTTGACTTGGAACAACTGAATGTTGTTTAGATACACTGAAAATTAGAAAAGGAAAAGTAAAATAGATCTTGTTAGGTAAGAAGCAGCAGGTAGTCACTTTTATGCATCAACAAAAGAAGGTGTATACAAGCCAGGCATTGGTGGTGCCCTCCTTTAGTCCCAGCACTCTGGAGGCAGAGGCAGGCAGATCTCTGTGAGTTGGAGGCCAGGACGGGTTCCAAAGCAATATAGAGAAACACAGAAGTATCCATTGGTATGCAAGGGGATACTCGGTTGAGAACTCCATCCCCATCCCCTCAAGGAAAAGAACAAAATAAGATACTCTATCAAATACTATAGTATTTACATATAACCCATGCACAACCTTCTGTATTATTTATTCTTGGATTTCTCTATGTAACACCTAGCTGTCCTGGAACTCTTAGATCAGGCTGGCCTCAAACTCACAAGAGGTCCGACTGCCTTTGCCCCTCAAGTGCTGGGTCTCAAAAACTACAGGCTGGCCTGGAACTTACCATGCAACTGAGGATGACCTTTACTTTCTGATCTTCCTGCCCACACTTCCCAAGTGCTGGGGTTATAAGTGTTTGCCACTATGCTTGATTATTACCTTCTGTACGATATAAATCACTTCTAGAATAATTCTAAAATCTAACGCAGTGTGAATGCTAAATGTAATTTTTTCTCACAAATATTCTTCAAATGCAGTTGGTTGAAAAAAATAGGTACAGAATATACCAACTTATATTCACTTTGAGTTATAATTCTTATATCTTAGATATTAGAAAGAAACTGAGTCAAATCAAATCTCACATAGAAAAAATTAAGAACTTATCTGTTTGAACATTGTTTTATGATAATAAAACTAAGAGATATGGATTAAGAGATGACTCAATGGTTTACACTTCTTACTGCTATTGCAGATTGACCCCTTCCTAGCACCAAGGTTAGGTGGCCAACGACCACCTATTTCCAGCTCTAGGGGACATGTGCCCTCTTTTGGACTCTTTATAAATATATCATATAAACCCTGAAACTTGTCAACAATAATAACACTATTGTTGTTACCTTCAGATTATTTCAAAACATTGTTAATATTTATAACTTAAGTAATTACCAAACATTAAGTCTTTTCCCAAAGAGTTTGACATTATTAAGATGTGTGACAGCTCTTTCTACAGCATATTCATCACCCATTTCTACAAGTGCTGTGCCAGGAATGGTCTTCATAAATTTTACCTGCAAATACAAAAATCCCCCCAAGATCATTTCTTAGAATCTTAGCTTTATTGTGTCATTTATAGGGTAGCCTGAACTCTTACCAAAGTTGAGTGAAGTTAAAGAAGACTAAGTGTACTCCCCAACACTGTTATTTGTGTAATCTAGGTAATCTACCATATTCCTCTAAACCAGACTATCACTATAAAATGAAAATAATGACTACATCCCTAGGTACGCAGCCTAGACTCATTCAAAAAGAATCTGAGTATCAAGTATGTTTTGATAAGCACTGTGCTAGGTACTATAGATTGAACAGTAAACAAAACCATCTTCATCTTTATATGGTAGTAAACAATTCAGAAATGTCAAGGTAATGAATAATACAAGATAGCCTAGAGATAGCATGGTAGCAGGAAACGCAATGTTGGGCACTTAGAATTAAACCATACAGTAGCACAATAGCTTGAACACACTTTCCTTCTTATCTATTAACCTCAAAGGAACACATAGAATATCTGCATTTATCGCCACCGCTTCCAGTTTTAAAAGGGTACCCTACCCTAGCACTCTCTATACTGTACCTATACATATTGGTAATATCACAAACTTCAAGGTTTACCTGAAATCAGCTGTTTTGCTGGATCCTTTGATTTAACCCAGTAAGCAATATCCTAAAACTCTAGTAGTTATTAATAATTATAGTAGGCATATCTATATAAGTATAAATAAATGTGGGTCTAAGCCCCCCCAAAATAAATAAATTGGAAAAGAGAGACACCTCAGTGGTTAAGAGCACTTATCACTCTTAGAAAAAAAAAAAAAATCCCAGGTATGATTCCTAACACCTAGCACAGTGAGCATAGTGGCTCACAACCATCCCTAACTACAATTCTGGGGACCCAGTGCCTACTTCTGACCTCCACAGGCACCAGGCACACATGTACCACACATATATACATACAGGCAAAACATTACTGCACATTTTTAAATCCTTAAAAAATTAAATCACTGAAAAAGTTTAAGGGGTTATAATGGTTTCAGTTTTATTCATCACAATCCATCATTTAACATTATTCAAAAACTTGGGGGGAGCAGTAGGATCCAGGTTTAATTCCCAGCACCCACATGGTGGCACACAACTTTCCAGAAGCCCTCTTCTGGCCTCCTTAGGGACCACACATGCAAGAGGTCCATAAACATACAAGGGTGAACACTCACACACAATACACAATAAATAAAGTTTTTTTTAAAAAGTATTATAATTTTAAGGTAACATGAAACAGAATTAAGCCTACCAAAAACTAAATCATGAAAGACTTGTGTTGGTGGTGCATGCCTTTAATCCCAGCACTCGGGATGCAGAGGCAGGTGAATCTCTGTGAGTTGGAAGCCAACCTGATCTACAGAGCTAGTTCCAGGAAGGCTCTAAAGCAATACAGAGAAACCCCATCTCAAAAAAGAAAACCACTAAATCATGAGACAATTCTCAACTCAGTGATATAGATTAAACTTCCTGAATTTAGTTGTTTACCTACCCTAAGACAAAATACAAATTTCTTCTTTTCTTCCTCTTACTATAATGGAGACATTATTAGGGTTTTAGAATTACTGAACTAAGAACTAGGAATACCAAGGTTTGAGGCCATTCTCCCACACCAGTGATTCACATGTTTATACTTTCTTATTGCTATGGAAAGAATACTAAAATCTAAGAGGAAAATAACATTATTACAGTATTGGAACAGTCTGTCAAAGATGGTCCACTTCAAATACTGAGTTCAAAAAAAAAAAAACAAAAAAACCACACTGTTTCTCATAAGATGATTGAGGCTGGCTCAGCCATTAAGAGCACTTAGTTCTAGCATTCATATGGTAGATCACACCATTCCATACATGTGGTACGGAGACATATATGGAGGCAAACACTCATACACTATGTGTGTGTGTGTGTGTGTGTGTGTATATTTATATCATGGTATTTAGAAAGTAAGTAGTATATAACAAGCCTTCCCTGCCCCAAGCAAGTCAAGTTCTGAGATTAATATTCACAAATATCTAGCTCCATGAATATAATTGCTCTTTGAAATTTTACAGTTTAACTAGTTAAATTCTAAAACCAACTACATGCTTTCTTCCATTGTTAAGGTAAAAATATCATAAATGGAAAATGCACTTAAATGTATCTAGTCTACCCAACATCATAACTTAACTGATAGTATAGTTTTTTTGTTCATGTGATAACTAGAAAGTCCAGCCTGTTGCTGCTTCTCAGGGTTACAGAATGCTAGTATGACAAATTTTAAATTCAGAGTATGATTGTCATTTAACATATCATGTTCACAACATCATAAAGCAGAAAAATCAGGAGTCAAACAACTGTTAATATAACATATATACTGGCAGGCATCATGCCTTTAGTAGGTGACTGAACTGCTGTTTTGGAGCCTGCTCTTTATACTGGTAATTTAAAATGCATTTTTATTACTAACAATCTATACTGATTACTTGTTAGCAGAACAAACAAACAAAACATTTCTGTAGTTCACTCATAATGGGTTTTAAATGTTTCTGACAGAAGTGTGTAGCATTTTCCGAAGTGTGTAGCATTTTCTGAATTACTACTATATATTCTATCCAAATAAACTAACAAGATGAAATTCACCTTTTCAATATTTCCATACAAGCAGAATAGGTTGAAGACTCTTGAACAATTCATTTTGAGCTGATGTAATCCACTAACCATTACAACAGAACCCGAGGGACTTCCCCCATGCATGTAAGAGGAAGAAGCTTGTGGTAATGGATATGCAACAAGTTCAGGTGTATCTCTAGAGCCCATTCTATAACGACTTGGTAAAGGCAATAATGGACCATGTGATCCTGTAAAAATGATCAAAACAACAAGTAAGTAACAGACACACATATTTTCATTTAGTATATGAATATTTAAATGTAAATATACTTATAAATAAATCAAATCAGCATTTATACATACTATATTACCATACTCAACAGACAACTATATCCATTTACACAAAATTTCTATTTTCAAAAGGTTTAAGACTAGGTTAGAGAATTGGAGCCAGTGTAAAACTCTGGAATATATATGTATGCACGCATGTATGATGCTATAATTCAGCTAGACATGATGACACACATACCCAGTAATTGGATAAGGCAAGAGGATCCAGAACTAAAGGTCATCTCCTATTACAGAGGTCAGCCTAGCTTATGAGATCCTTCTTTATGTGTGTGTGTGTGTGTGTGTGTGTGTGTGTGTGTGTGTGTGTGTGTGTGTGTGTGTTGGGGGGAGGGGGTCATGACAGGGTTTCTCTTTTAACAGGTCTGGCTATCCTAAAACTTGCTCTGTAGACCAAGCTGGCCTGTCTCTACTTCACGAGCACTGGAATTAAAGGTGTGTGCCACAATTGCCCAGCATGAAATCCTTCTTAAGAGAGAAAAGGAACAAAGCAACAGAAACCCCACCATATAGATGCCATTTATTCTACTGTATATACATTATACCTGCTTAAAAACAAAATTGCCAACGTCTTTTAGAGGGATAAGATATAGTAAAATGTAAGAAACTATCTTTGTAAAATATTTAAGAAAAAATACTCTCAGGTCAGTGTGATGGTGCATGCTTTTAATCCCAGCACCAGGGAGAAAGAGCCAAGTGGATCTCTTTAAGTCTGTAGCCAGGCCAAAGTTACAAAGTGAGACCTGTTTCAAACAACTCCCTCACAAAAGAAAAGCCATTTTCAGTTCTACAAACGTCTCCACGTCTCATTGAGTAATGTACTATAATATACTTCTACCCCCCCCCCAAAAAAACCCACTAGGATTCATTAATTAGTATCTCATCTATATATAGGTCTTCTACCATCCTCCATTAACATTACATTTGTGTGAGTGTGTTGTGTGTCACATTAAAAGGACAGCTTGCAGGAGTATGTTCTCTCCCTCTACCATTGTGGGTTCCAAAAATCAGACTCAGTCAGGCTTAGCAGCAAGTGCCCTTCCCCACTGAGCCATCTCACAGGCCTATAATCTTTGCCCCCCCTTCTTAAAAATTCAAAAAAAATTTAAAAAAAAAAAAAAAAAAAAAAAACCACAAGAATCCAGCAGAAAATATCTAAAATTCTAATGGAAAATCTCTCTCTCCACTCACTGCATCTCTTAAACCAACAATCTTCATTCCAGAATCAACTTGCTAAATTTACAAGTTGTAAAACTTATGCTTTTTTGCATCTACAACTTCAATTTCAAGCTTTTTCTTGGGTGCGTAATAGAATGAAACAACTTTGAATAAACTAATGTACTAAAAGTAGGCACAGAACTGGGCAGTGGCAGTGTATGCCTTTAATCACAGCACCCAGGAGGCAAATGCAGGCCAATCCCTGAAGTTGAGGTTCGCCTAGTCCACAGAGTGAGTTCCAGGACAGTCAGGATTACACAGAGAAATCCTATCTCAAACATTAAAAAGAACCCAGGCATTAGTGGCGCACACCTTTAATCCCAGCACTTAGGAGGCAGAGGCAGGCAGATGGATCTCCTGTGTGTTCAAGGCCAGCCTGGTCTACAGACTTGAGTTCCAGGACAGCCAGGACTGTTTTTACAGAAAAACCCTGTCTCAAAAAACCAAAAAGAACCAAGCAACAACTAAGATAGAGACCTAGAATTCAAAACATAAACCCAGGGGACTAAAGAGAAGCCTCAGCAGTCAAGAAAGCTTGGGAACCCAGGAGGCCTGGGTTCAATTCCCAGTACCCACGTAAGGCATTGTCCAACTGCCTATAACTTTCATTGCAGGGGATCTAATACCTTCTAACCTCTTCGGAAACCTGCACATGATATACTTAAACCCATGCAAGCACATACACATACATGTTAGAAGGTGTAATAAATCAACAAATAAATAAAACATCTAGGGTGCTCCTGCGTTAGTGGCTATAGAGCATAATCTAGAATGTACCGAAGACCTCCTTGTGTACAATAAATACCAAATCTCAACCTGTTTCCACACTTTAAGAAGAAACTGTAGTATCATTTCCTTCTATTTTTGTAGGACTCAAGAACCATATTACAAAGTCATTATTCATATTATACTGCTTCCCCACCACTGTCATTGGCTTATGCCACAGAATCCTTTCCCCCATGAGAAGTAAAAAGACCTTCGGCAGATAAGCGGTACAAGCTTCCACTGAGTTGGATAATTCACAAATGTTGGTGAGATACAGGTTAAGAAACAGCCAAAACTAGTTCGAGAGAATAAATGCTATGATGTTTTTAACTACGACCATAAGTCAACAGAATTAAATTACCTATGATTCAGATTGTTCTATATAGCCATAAGTCCTAAACAGCAGATGCAAATCTTGATGTGTAAAAAAACAAAACAAACAAAAAAACTAATGCTTCATGTTTTTAAAAAAATCAATTTATATGGAAAAATGTTACATAAACGGGCAATGGTGGCACATGCCTTTAATTCCAGCACTCAGGAGACAGAGGCAGGCGGATCTCTGTGAGTTCGAGGCCAGACGGTCTGTTCTACAAGAGGATAGCTTCCAAAAAGCCACAGAGAACCCATCTCGAAAAAACAAAAACAAAACAAACAAACAAACAAACAAAAAAAAAAGAGTATCATTAACATTTTGAAGTTATTTTCTTTCCAAATATAAAATCTTTGATTTAGGAACTATACCAAAAATGCTAGCCATCAACTTGTGACTGCTTAAAGCTTATTGTTTAAGTATGATGGATTCAAAACCAGCCTGGTTTATGATTTAAATTCTGGGCCAGCATGGAATACATGGTGAGACCATGTCTTTTAAACAAAAAACAGTTACAGCATAAAATTTATCCTATGACAAAGCAATGAATAAATTTTATCTAATTGAAAATATGCATCTGACTGATAATTAATTTTTTCTATTCCCTCTTTATTTTCAATCATTTCACAAAATGCAAATAAAGCTGTTCTGTTTAACTGCTGCTCTGAAGGTATACAGTTGTGATCTGCATATTTGCAGGTTCCTATGTTCTCCCACTTCACTTCTTTATTTACAGTCTCTGTCCTTTTAAGTCACTCTGCTAACCTCTTAGGAAGCAGAGCAAATTCATCTCCAATTTCAACATCTTAATGACATAGCTGAGAACAGATATACAACAGAGACAACTACAACTCAATATCTCAATAATCCCTATTTAGCACCTATCACTCCAAATTGCACTTCTCTTTGTATATGAGCTACATTATTTGTCTACCCAATTCTTTCAGTAAAATACATCTGATAACAAAAGACTTTCTCAAAACCTAACCAAAAGAGTCTCAATACTACTATTGAGTTCCTTGTTTCTCACTTATCCTTTCATAGTTTTCTAGTTTATTTGGCAAATAGGTAACCAGGTTTTAGCCTTCGAGTGATTGCCATTGACACATTTAACTCCATAAATAACATAAACTTTCTGTAATACATACCACAATAGGCTTCTACTCAGCATTTCTTTATTGCAAGAACAAAAGTACATTACATATACTCTTATGTTACAGAAACCAAGAAAACTGATCAAGGATTATATAAATGAACTAAGACAACCATTCCAGGACAGCAAGATGATTCTGCAGATAAAAGGCACCTGCCTCCAAGCCTAATGACCTGAATTCAATGTCTGAGGCCACATGGTGGAAAAAGGGAACTAAGTCCTCTGACCTCCACTGGCATGCACACACAACCTGAAAATATAACAACAACAACAACAACAATGTATAAAACACAACAAAAATCACAGCTGAGTGGTGGAGGCACATGCCTTCAATTCCAACACTTGTGAAGCAGAGGCAAGTGGACCTTTCTGAGTTTGAGGCCAGTCTGGTCTACAAGTCAAGTTCCAGAATAACCAGAGCTACATAGTGAGATCCTATTTCAAAACAAACACCACCACCACCACCACAGACACACCCACACACACACACCCCGCCACAAAAAAAAAAAAAAACTGTACAACACTGTTTTAACAGGAAAATGTTTCAACTTCCTCTGCCATATAAGATTACTAGAAAACCTTAAGCAAATTTTATCACAGACATAAATAAAAATTTCAAGTTTAAACAAAGACACTAGAAAGCGGCTCAATGGGTAAGAGCATTGGATGCTCTTCTAAAGGACCTGAGTTCAATTCCAAGCAACCACGTGGTGGTTCACAACTGTCTAACTCCAGTTCTTCTGGTCTCCTCAGGCAATGAGGCACATACACTGTGCATAGATATACATGTTGGCTAAACACACATACATATTAAAAAATATTTTTGGTTTTTTTGTTTGGGTTTTCAAGACAGCCTGTCCTGGAACTAGCTCTGTAGACCAGGCTGGCCCTGAACTCACAGAGATCCACCTGCCTCTGCCTCTGCCTCCCAAGTGCTGGGGCTAAACGCATGGGGCACCAACGCCTGGCTTGGGGGGGAAAAAACCCTAACCAGTAAGCTAAAAGTCTAAGAATGTTTATTAAATATAACAAACAGTAAAATCGTACACACTTAGAACAGACTAGATAAAGTCAACAACTACCCCCCTAAAAATTAAAAATATACTTTAACACAAGTTAACACACTATTTTAGTAACAATTGTCAACTTCTATTTTCAAGAATAATCTAAAGCCTAGCTTTTTCCCAAAGAAAATTATCCTCCTTCTAAGTAACTTTGCTAGGTTAGAATTAAATACAAATTTAACCAAAGCCAAAATAAAACATTTTTGACAAATACTCATTCTTTTTGCTTTTATTACTCAAAATTTCTCTTTGCTCTGATGAATGAAAATAAACTTACTAAGCAGTAATACCCCTTTCTGGTCCTCTTAAAAGCCAGAGCCACTTACAAATCAAAACCAAACCACAGGAACGGGGGTAGGGGGGGGTCCAATTCCCCAACCTCAATTTATTCCAAGGATTATTTAATATATTAATATCATAAGAAAAAAAGGTTTTGGATAACTTCTTGATAATACATTGTAGTGGACTAATCTTTATACAACTACATCAGGCAATCAGGAGCTCAGGAAATACACTGACAAGAAATAGGACATTCTCCATCAGAAATGCAAATACGCTCTCGTGGTTGATCTATACTACCTTCCTTCTGCTTGACAAACTTACCATAGCCATCATGTCTAAACGAAGAAGGGTGATCTCCCAGAATGGCTTGTCTCTGGCGACCCTTTCCTCTATCTGACACAAAAGTAGAAACACGGTTTTAACAATCTGATCCAAGTACTTAACAGAGTTTTCACATGGGAAACACCCATTCAAAACATCCATATAAAAGAAATATTATTCCTGGTTAACTTTAAACATCCATCCATATCCAATTTAAATACAAACACCAAAAGAAAACAATTCTATCTAACAAATTCCACTGGAAATTATGGTTTTGATAAATGCCAAATACAATCACACTTTCAAATTTAAAAGATTAGATGCTTTGCAGGAAGTGAATGTACACAATGCTAGAGTTTGACACTGTACACAAGTTTTTACCAATACATGTCTTTAAAACAAGCTTGTAAGTGCAGTACTTTTGAAAAACAGTACCTGAATCATACTATTAGCTTCAACAGCAACACATTTTCAAAGTGGGCTTCTTTCAAGAAGTTTCAGCATAAGCCAACAACAACCTGTATTACATGGTTTCACAATCAGTAAACACAGAGTATTTTATATGTACATACACATATTTACAAACACCTACTGACTTGAGAGCTGAAAATTTGCACATCACTGGCTTATGGTGTATCATAGATAGGTCATGTTTTTTATTGACCATAACATCAAGCAGAAGTATGAGCAACCTCCAGAGTTTAAATATGCCAAGATAAACCTAACCAAGGGGGCTACATTATTGGATGAGACTACAATACTCTAAATTTTTATTCTAGCTATATTTTCAAAAAAGGCATGCCAATTTGAGAGCTCATTTTTAAAAGAATTACTTCCAAGTTTCTAAAATAAATAGGACTTTTATGGCCAGTTAGCAAATTTCAAATCATATAATACTTTTAGAAGTTTGCTGATCCAATTATAGTGCCCAAAACATCCTCAGTCACCTAAACAAACAAGGTTTATGGAAGATGAGAAATAATAACTTTTACTTCAGTCTAGAGAAGTCTATTTTTAATTACCTGTTCTAATCATTCTTTCTATACCACTGAAAGGGACTAAAGAAGTTCATCTAGCTCAACTTTTGTTCACTATTAAAAAACAACCAAACAACAACAGAAATGCTCTTAATCATCCCTTTTTGGCCACTTCGTAACCAACACCAACAAAAAAGTATTCACTATCTTTTCTTTACACTTAACTTATATACTTTCTATACAGAATAGAAACTGGTCCTCCACCCACATTCTAATGTATTTAAAACTTTACACTAAGTACTTAAACACTGACCTCACCTCCTCAATCATTGATTTTGCAGGCTAAATTAATTTTTCTTATTTGGTTTTTAGCATTTCCCAGTATCTTTGTCTAGTCTCTTAAATTAATCCAGTCTGCTGATCCCTCAGGTGCTGTCTCCTTAAGTACCACCAAAGACTAAAGGCAATTCCTTATCTTTTCTCAGAACCGTGATGCCTTCATGGCTTAAGTTTTACTGATAGTTAACAATGTGTCACAAAGAAAGATTCCAATTAACCACTAATTTGCTATACAGTTATGGAAACCCATTACCTTCCTACATAAAATGAAAATAGAAGATGGGTGAGGTGGCACATGCTGTTACTCCCAACACTCAGGATACAGAGGCAAGGCAAGTAGTGAAAAACCCATCTCCAAAAAAGTTATTTCCAAGGCATCTTTCAGTCATGTCTTTTTCACTGTTGTTTCAACACACTACTATAATTTGAGGCATTCACCAGCAATGATAAAACAACATAAAACAAAAGGAATAGGAAAGTCAAACACTGAGCCTATCAATCTATAGTTTCTTGAGCTCTGTGTATTCAAATAAAATCTGATAAATGCTACACGTCAATTTTGTGTAACGTTTATGGATGGGTTCCCTAGAGTTCAGGCTAAGGGTTCTCCATGAAATCACTCAGTTTTTTTTTTTTTTTTTTTTTTTTTGCTTTTCAAGACAGGGTCTCTCTATGTAGCCTTGGCAGTCCTTGAACTCTCTATGTAGACCAGGCTGGCCTCAAACTCACAAAGTTCCCCCTGCCTCTGCCTCCCAAGTACTGGGATTAAAGCCTGGCTCATAATCAGTAATTTTAAAATGAAATTTTAAAAAGTGTATTTTAATGAAGATTTCTTTAGTAAAGATACATGAAGAGCCTTTTGTCTTCTTCTTACTATTTTATTTTGTTTTTGAGACAGGGTCTCATATAGCTCAGATTGTCTTTAAACTCCTGACTCTGTCTCTTCTTCCCAAGTGCTGGGATTATAAGCATGCACCACCACACCTGGTTCTACATAAAGGTCTTTGGGCAAAGCAGATAAATAATTTTAATGATCTGTCAAACATGAGTCAAGCTTAGATCACTACAGAAACTATGTTTATAAGCTGGAAGTCTAGCCAGAAAGTTACCTGTCAACAAACATTAGGAAAACAAGAGTATTTTTCCTTAAAATCATAAATAAAAATTATTTTACTTCCTTTAATTATACTTTATTAAAATATCTAGCTTACACATTTCTAAATAGACTAACTAGAATTGCATGAAAAAACTACGCTGGCTTTGTATAAAGTTCAGACCTTTTAAAAGAATACGCAAAAACAATGTTAAAATAAAATATGTAAATGTTTCACTGGGCATGATGGCACACACCTTTAATACCAGCACTAGGAAGGTGGAAGCCTGCAGTTCAAGGCTACCCCGGTCTAGAGAGCAAGTTCTAAGACAGTCAGGGATACACTGAGAAACCCAGTCTTGAAAACAAAAAACAGAGAGGGAAAAAAAAAATGGTAATATAAATGCAACCCAAACTATTTCAAGTGAGTAAATAAAATCCAAATTTAAGTTTTCAATACTGTCAGTGGACAGAAATGAGAGATTTCTCATCAACCATTTGTCCTGTTGTTTGAGTTCCTAAAGATTTGTTTTCCAGTATTAGACCCAACTGCACCAAGGATAGACAGAGCAAATTTCCTTAAGTATCAAAAGGGGGAGTCTAACAAAGCTACATTTTACAATACAAACCTATTTACAATTTTATGCATAAGATGAAATGATTTCCTGGAAATTGAGAGCTAAAGAAACCAGAAAAACCCCAAGTATCTGAACATGCAAAAGATAACATGTGCTTTACTCTTTCATTCCTTTAGTTAAAGTACATGCACTGAGTACTCACAGATCAAGATACTTTGGATGACAAAGTTTTTCTCGCTGACTTGTACAGGCACATTCATCTTGAGATTTTCTAACATGTGGTTCAAACATTAATATTGTAGTTGAGATCTAGCCAATACTGAAGCCCCCTTGTTTTTACAAGCTCAACATTTTAATTTGTATATTCCAGAATTACCACAGTTAGTTGAACAATTTATCAATGGAATCTATGCTAATGAAATTTAGCATTTATAGGCTATTGGTGAAAAAGCATTTCAAATGAAATGCTCTTGATTTTCAGATTTATGAAGTTTAAATATATTTTACCTTGCAAATGACATGTTACTTTCAACTATATTTGAAATGTTAAATTTTCTGGTTACACAAATTAACATAAGTGAAAAACTTTAAATTGTTACAAAATATGACAACTTATAAACAGGCACTTTACAAAAATCAAACCACACAGAAAAACATCTTTTACATTTGTTAGAATCTCTATTCAGTGTTTATAATTAGGAAAAAACAAAAACCAAAACCAAAGTAAACTTAAACGCACCAAATGTGCACTTTTTTGTGCTGAGGATCAAACATAGGTTTACACATGCTAAAGCACAAGCTCTACCACTGATCTGTTTATCCCCAGACAATGCACACCTTTCTAATCCACATTAAATCTTTAATGTTTGTGTGGATTGGTTGAGCATATCAATTCCCAAGGCCTGTAGATAAATAAACTGACCCCTTGTTAAAAGCCAATTAACAATTTAAATCTAAGCTGAAAACAGTTACATCAATGGTCAGTGAACTTTACAACATTGCAAAATGTCTAGTTTTCATAAATGAAAAATCTTAAATTCTACAACTGAAACCTTAAGGGAAATCAGATAAGCATACATACAACTTGAATAAATGGGCACAGTCTATCATGGTGTTCATCCCATGCAAGTCTGAAGTACTGTTAATGTCGTCCTTTAAAAACTTGGGGTGATGGTGCATGTAGTATGCAGTCAAGGTGAATTGCAAGTCTGAGTTTTCAGAGGGCTTTTTGCTGATGCCGATGTTGTGCATGATGAGGTGTAGAGTCAGCCTGCCGGAGTCCTCTATCCTTCTTAATGCCTCGTCCAGCTTGGGGGGGGAAGTCCTTTCCATAGAGAAGCAGTGTGCAAGTTTGCAGTTTGTAAGGAATATTCTGAATCAGTTTCCTCTCCTCCAAAGAGAGAGAGCTGCTTGGAGAAATGCAAGTCCTTGAACTGCGGGCGTGCCTGTATGTGAGGGCTCCTTGTTGAACTAAATATAAATAAGCTCAGCACATACCAATAGGGGGCACTAATGTCCAAGGATAATTTCCAGCATTACACAGACTTTTGCAACAAAAGCATCCAGCAACAAGATTTTCATTATAATTAACTAGCTCATCTCTGAAAAAAAAATGTTAACTGCTTGTAAAAATTTCTCAGCAGATCCAAGTATATTCTAAAATTTGTAAAATACCTACCTCGTCTTCCCAAATAAGGTTTAGTGTAGTCCCAACTGTCATTGTCATTCCTAATAACATTTAGACGAGTTGGCTGTTTAAAGTGAAGAAGAGATGTAAGTTTAAATAAATACCCACATCATAAATATTTCTTTGGTAGAGTGTTGAAAAGAACACTTACCCTTGCATATTCAATTTTTAGTGTGCAACATCCAGCATATATATCAGCTCCATTGAGTGCTGCTTTAGCTTTCTGGGCACAAAGGACTGACTCAAACATAAAACTCTATTAAGGAAACGTGCCTGAAGGCTTCCTAAATTTACTTTTCTTCATTCCCAAGAAACTAAAAAGATAACCAAAACTAGCTCTGTGTTTCTGGAAATGTTTTCCTAAATAAAATTTCTAAATAAGTCTTTATTTTAAAGGATTTATGTAGGGCCCTGCATGGACCCCTGAGGCGCCTTGAGCTAGCCTGAAGCTGTTGGCCAGAACTCTTTGCCCCAAGGCTTTTGTTGGTACTCTTCCCGTGACAACACACACCTCATGACAACACACACCTCATGACAACACACACCTCGTAGAGAGGAGCTAAGCCTAAAAGTTCCTGTCCACTGTGCTATAAGTCGGTATTTAAGCCCGTTCTTGCCCCTCAATAAACGGCATTTGGCATTCTGACATTGCCATTGAACGAATGACCCGCTGTCTTGTCTTTATTTCAATCTCTAGGCCTTCGCCCGATTCGTGGAAGAGATGGTAGCACGGGCGCTACAGATTTACTTTAAAGACTGAGAACAGAGAAAACCTTTGACACCATCAACATAATCTAAATTAATACATAAATCCAACCCGTTACAAGTATTATCAAGTAGAGCACGGATAGGTTTTATCCCCTTGGCAAAGGGCAATCTACAACCTGGAAATTATTTTGTTCTCAAAGTATAGGGCCAAGGCTTCCCTTGTAATCAGATTGAAGACTACCAACAGAAAGAACCTTCATCCAGTATCTAATGGAAGCAGATACAGAGATCCACAATTAACCACTGGGTGGAGCTCCCGAAGTCCAGTCAGAGAGAGGAGTGATAATACAAGCAAATATAAGCAAAGGGGTCAAGACCAGGATAGGGAAACCCACAGAAACAGTTGACACAAACTAGTGCAAGCTCACTGACTCTGGACTAGACAACAGGAAAACCTGCATAGGCTCGAAGGCTCCCTGAGTGTAGGTGACAATGGGTGGCTTGAGCAGTTTGTGAGGCCACTAGCAGTGGGACCAGGGTCTATCACTAGTGCATGAACTGGCTTTTTGGAACCTATTCCTATGGAGAGATATCTTGGCTCAGCCTAGACACAGCAGGGAGGAGGAGGGTCTATCACTAGTGAATGAACTAGCTTTTTGGAACCCATTTCCTATGGAGAGATGCCTTGCTCATGCTAGACACAGCAGGGAGAAGGAGGGGAGAGAGGGGGAAACTGGCATTAGTATGTTTTTAAAAAAAAGGGGGGGGGGCAAGGAAATAATACAGTGTTAGAGCACTTGGCCTCCTAGAACATAGAGCCCTGGTTTCAATCCCAGTGCCTTAATGGACTACTTTATGGTGTGGAGTTATTTTTTACCAATAGTAAAATTCCCCAAAGCACTGCAGTTTCATTTTTAAATGTAAGTAAGCAGGGTATGGTGGTACACACTTTTAATCTCAGCCCTCAGAAAGTAGACAGATCTCTGAGTTGATTACAAACCAGGGTTACACAATACTCTATCTCGAAATAAAGAAAACAAACAAATAAATGTAAATCAAGAAAATTGCCCTAACAGGAAAAAAGTGACACTTACCTAGAAATACTCAAGCAGAAAAAAAAAAAAAATTACAAACACTTCTATACACCAGTAACACATTTACAAATAAAGGATATTCAACCATTGCTTGTATCCCATTTCTCTTGAATATAACAATTCTTTGTACTTTTCCAACAGGGTTGCATACGGTATATAAAACATCCTATGAAGAACCCAAAAAAAAAAAAGAGCATTTCAGCATTTCTTCATTATTTAGAAAAACATTAAAACTATATTCTGTTTTGTCTAAAAAGTAAACATTTACAGATATCATTTCTCTTAATTACTAAACTTTTTTTTTTTTTTTTTTTTTTTAGAGGATCTAACTGTATAGTTTTAACTGGCCATAGACCAGGACAGCCTCAAAATAGGAGATCTACCTACTTTTGCTAGAGTCAGAGGCATGTTCCACCATACCCACCTATAAACTACATTGTTTAAAAGGGGAAAGAGTAGGCAAGCCCTGCTGTGATCCTTTAATACTGTTCCTCATGGTATGGTATATCCCCAACCATACGATCATTCTTGTTGCTAGTTCATAACTTTGTTAACTGTTATATGAATCGCAATGTAAATATCCAATATACAGGATATCTGATCCCTGTGGAGGGGATCATGACCTACCAGTTGGGAACCATTAGGCTAGAGATGGATCAGACCCTAGATTAGGTTTTCACAACACAGTAGCTAACAACCATCTATAAATCCAGTTCTAGGGGATCTATGATGCTCTCTTCTAGCCTCCCAGGGCTCTGCATACATGTGAACAAACATGCTGGCAAAACAACCATACACATAAATAAAAATAAATTAAAGCTAAGCTTGTTGTTGAACATCTTAAATCTTAGCACTTGGAAGGCAGAGACAGACAGATCTAAGTTTCAGGCCAGCCCAGTTATATAATGAAACTGTTTCAGAACAACAAAAAAACTAGTTGAAGATAAGAAAACTACACACAGGTTAGTTGTTAGAGAGGTAGTTTGTTCTACTAAAATACATACCACCGTAATTGGATAAAGAGGATTCTGAATAGAGAGCAAGAGAACTTTGTTGCCCCCTGATGGATCATCAGTATTTCCTGGCCGTGTGATTCTTTTACTTGTAGAATAGTTGAAGAAAGCCTGTTGGCCAGCAATGTACACAGGCTCATCTGCAGCAAATGTCACACATTCTTTGGCACTATCTATATTTTCAAACTCCACTAGAGCCTGTCGTTTAAATGGCATCATCATCACATAGCTAAAAAGGAAAATATCAAAATACAACATTACTTATTCTCAGTCAAGTAAAAGTAGACTTTAATCACCCCATGATTGAAAGCTTATTCATCTCACGCCCCACTCAAGCCCAATTCCATTATCAATCACTTATAACCCTCTCATGAAGTAATTGAAAACATCAAGAGACAGAAAAAAACTTCACAGAAGATCAGCAAGCAAAACCTGTAGTTAAACGGCACAAACTATCTGAGCATGTCGGCAAGCTACAATCTCAGCACTTGGGAAGTGAAGGCAGCACTTGAGAAGTGAAGGCGGAATTTCAAAGTCAGCCCATCTCAAAAAGAAAATAGCAGAAATACCCACACAACAGTAACTAAGAATTAACTATTTCTATGTTTATGTCAACCACAGACTGACCAAAGTTCATCTGAGTAACTTACTCCAAAATATTTTAAAGAGGCCACAAAAAAGACAACCACTAAATACAATAATCAGCAAGGTGACACACACCTTTAGTCTCAGCACTTGGGAGGCAGAGGCAGGCGGATCTCTGTGAGTTCGATCTACAAGAGCTAGTCCAGGACAGTCTCCAAAGTTGCACAGAAACCTTGACTGGAAAAACAAAAAACAACAAAAAGAGCCAGTTCGGACAGGCTCCAAACCTACAGAGAAACCCTGTCACAAAAAGCAGCAAAAAAAAAAAAAAAAAAAAACATGGGTAACTATGAGCAGGAGGATATTTCACTTTTGAAAATATATTTCTTTAAAGGAAATATATTTTAATACACAAAAGGAATAATAAATGGAGCAATCCCAGCCCTCAAAGGCAGAACCAGGAAGATCTCTGTGGATCTGAGCCAGCCTGGTCTACAAAGTGAGTTCCCGGCCAACCAGGGCTACTACATTATGAGACCCTGTCTAAATAAAGAAAAAAGAAAAACTACAGTGCATGTTTTACAATAAATAGGAGAAATAGCAATATTCCTAACTGACAGGAATAAGAACTTTCAACTATCCTGATACACAACCAACATGGTTTAATCATACCAAAACCAAAAACACATCTGGGCATGGAGGCGATCACCTTTAACCCCCAGCATTAACTAGGCCTGTAGCTCTCTAGTTCAAGGACAGTCTGGTCTAGAGTGAGTTCCAGGATAGCCTGTCTTAAAACACAAATAAAAACAAAACACACCATGACATCAAGTCAGGTACTTAAACCATAATGCATAACAGCATTCAGGGCCCACAGCTTCATATTAGAACTGACAAAAGTGTAGGGTTAGTAAAACAAATGAAATATCCCATCATTTTATAGTTTAATAATTTACCACTTTCCTCATTTATAAAACTGGAGTTATAGTCAAGATATACCAAACAGACTAGCATGCTATAGGATTCCATGGGTGGCTATTACTTTCTCAGAATTTGCCTCATACAACTTTATATAAGACAGAAAAAGAGCCTGGCACACAGTAGGTATGTTGACCTAGATAGCTAGTTAGCTATCACATCACTAAAAAGCAAAACAATAAAACTGCAAATTCCTGGATTTAAAGCTATTATCAACTATACGTACAAAATATAAATCCCAGGAAAGAAAAATATTTCTTCTAGAAATAAATTCTTCAATGAAGTCTGAAGTCTTTTATATGTAGAATAGTAAACCTTGGAATCAGGTCTGTTATTTATAAAATTAATAAATAAAAGGGAGGATATAAGATGGCTCAGCAATTAAGAACACTTACTATTCTTACAGAGGACCAGGGTTCAGTTCCCAGCACCCATAGGGTGATTAACAACTGTAACTCCAACTCCTAGGGATCCAACATGCTGTTATTAAGATCTCTGTGGGAATCACTCATACACATAAACATATCTAAAAAAATAATTTAAGAATAAATGTCTCTCATACAACATATAAATTTTGTTGACAAGTTAAAAGTAGCCCCTGGAAACAGAAAAATTAAAAACAAAGGCAACTGGCCTATTATAGATTTGGTCATAATAAAACTGCTTTCTAGCTGGGCAAAGTGATCAAATACACCTTTAATCCCAGCACTCAGGAAGTAGAGACAGGTAGATCTCTGAGTTTCAGGCCATTCCAGAACAGTCAGGACTTGTAGAAAATAAGTCTCTTAAAAAATAAAATTAAAATGCCCAACCTATACCCAAAATAAGACATTAACTAGAAGCAAACTCAAAAGTTCCCAGAATAATGACTTTCTATAAAGACAAAGAAGGGGAGCGTTTAAATGTCACAGACATTTGAACATGTGCTTAAACAGCCTGGTGAACAATTATCTTTAATCTTTAAAAAGAATTAACTTGAGAAAGGCCAAACAACAAAAAGAAAAATAAAGGGTCAATGAGCGTGATGAGTCAATACTTAACTCAATACCATCACATTTTTTACCTATAAATTTGTTGAATGGCAGGTGATATGTCAACATAAGCACCTACTAATCACCCAAGGAAGATTAAAAACAACAAACTTAAGGCTCAGTGGCAGTGTCTGCCTGGTATGTATAGTGCACACAAAACCCCGAGTTCAATCCCTAACAGCAGAACATAAAACATACAAGTTTCCAAAGGTGGCCTGGCACAGGGGCTCACTGGATAAGAATACAAATTTGTGGAACTAACTTTAATCCCTAGACACACATGGTAGAGACTCAATTCCCTCAAGTTGTCCTCTGACCTCCCCACATTATAAATATGTACAAAAAACTAAAACAAGCCGAGCGTTGGTGGTGCAGGCAGATGGATCTTTGTGAGCTTGTAGCCAGCCTGGTCTACAAAGCTAGTTCCAGGACAGGCTCCAAAGCTACAGACAAACCCTGTCTCAAAAAAAAAAAAAAAAAAAAGTTAAAACAACTGGGTGGTGGTAGCACAAGCCTTTGATCCCAACACTCAGGAGGTGAGGCAGGCAGAACTCTTGAGTTTGAAGCCAATCTGGTTTATAGAATCGAGTTCCAGGGTAGGACTACACAGAGAAACCCTGTTTCAAACCCCAACCCTAAATAGTTAGAACAAAATAAAAAAGGTCCCAAAGATGGCACACCTATAATTCTAGCACTCAACAGGATGAATACAAGTTCTAGGCTAGTCTGCCCTCTCTCAAAACATGGGGAGAAGGCTTTTTTCCACAGAAAAGCATACATACAAACAACAAACAATACATACAATGCTAACTACCAACTCAAAGCAATCAAGCAAGGCTTGTCTTACTATATTATTTTCAGTGTCTATTAAGTCCCTGATGTCCTTACCATATTGTTCCAAATTTCTCCAGCGCCTCCACAAGGTCTGCTTCCACAACAGATTCACAGAGCCCTCGAACATGAACAACAGGGGAAACAGAAACTTTATGATGACTTCCACCTCCCTCCTAGGGAAGAGAAAAGAATGTTCAATTAACTTCAAAAGTCATAACTGTATCTTTCAATAAATTCAACTCTAAATTATGAAGCAAACACACACAATGACAAATCAAATTACAATTAACAAGTTAGCAAAACTAACTGATAATAGAATAAACTGAATGTTTGGTTTGAAATTTTTATTTCTAGAAGTTTCCAACACATGCCTCCTCCCACCCCAATTTGGTTTTTCAAGACAGGGTTTCCCTGTGTAGACCAGGCTTGCCACAAACTAAGGGATTCACTTGTCTCTCAAATTCTTATTTTGAAAAAGGAGTGATCTTCAAAATAGCAAGTCAGCTAAATGGGCAAAAGGCATAGGCACTTGACACCATACTAGACACCAAAATTCAATCCCCAGAACCCACACAGAGTGAAAGGAATTGTTTGTGTGCACAAAATAAATTTCTTTAAAGGGTGTTCAAGCCAGGATAGGCAATGTTTGATCTGTAGTAGGTGGTGGGCTCCCCTAAGTGCTTTTTTTGTATACTTTTTTGTCTTATATATTATAATGAAATAATTTTAGTTTCATTTCATAAAATACTCAATATTGTTTGTATCCCCCCCCCTTGGGGGGTTTTACCCCTGCATTTTATATCTGGATAGACAGACACTTTTGTCCTTAAACTACAAGGATAACAGGGTTGTGGGCATCATGATACTTCATCGCTAAATAGCTCAACATCCTAATGGTGATGTTCTTTTATATAACATTTACCATTTTCATAAAACAAAAATAATTTGATTAGGTAAATCTAACAGTCTTGTTTCCATATTTCCCCAACTGTCCATCATCTGGCTTCTAACTGTACTTTTTGGTCTATTGTAAAATTCACCTTTTGCACTCGAAGAGATTTTATCAATGCCAATCCGATTAAAAAAAAATCTTTGATATGCCAGGTGTTGGTGGTGCATGCCTTAGTCCCAGCACTAGGGAGGCAGAGGCCTCCTGTGAGTTCCAGGACAGCCTGATCTACAGAGCTAGTTCCAGGATAGGCTCCAAAGTTATACTAAGAAACCCTGTCTCGAAAAACCAAAATAAAAATAAATAAATAATCTTTGATTAAAAAAAAAAATTACCTTCTGAATCCAGTTGTTTCTAGAGTCTCTTACTATATTTTGGCAGTAACTTTTGAATAGGTCTTTTACTTTTGCCAGATTTTCTCTAAGAACGGCCCATTATGAATAATGATTATGATGAAAACAGTGCAAAAAATGGCTAGTTTTCAAATTGTCTTCTCACAAAAATGGATTACAGACCAATCTTTTAAAATCCCTCAAAAGAATTCACTATCTATACAAAAGCTGAGGAACATGAAAATATTATTACTCTATTTTGGTCAATGTATTTATACAGAAATTGTGACTCTGCAACCCCAAAATATGTAATAATATTGTGTCAAGGAAAATTTCTTAAAAGAACTTACAATAAGAAAATCTGGAAGATGTTAATTATAATATACTATTTGGGGGAAAGATGATTTTTCTTAATCTCAAAGCAAAAAAAGTGCCTCAATCGACCATTCTTAAATTACTTGCCTTGGTATTCTCTATAACTTTCATTATATTTGCATACCTACTTCTGTTTGAGATAGGGTCTCACTATGTAGCCCTAGCTAGTTCAGAACTCACTAACCCATTTATTGCTGGGGAGTATGCTACTGTATCACACCCAATTCCCAACTTCTTTAATACAAAAAATTTCTATAGTTCATTTTTAAAAAATTATTCAAGTTATTCCCAACTGAACAGGAGATAATTTTGTCTTTTAAAACTGTATTTCTACCACTCCCTCCAACACTTAAGTTTTCTATCTCTTCTTCTACCCCAAAATATTAACTATAAAATTAAAGACAAGCTCTCATACATCCAAGGCCAGCTTCAAACTTGCTTTGTAGCAGAATATGACTCTCTAACTTCTGATCTTCCTGCTAAGATTATAGATAGGCACTAAAAAAAGGTATTTATGCAGTGCAGGAAATCAAAGCCAGTTTCATGCTCATAAGACAAGCACAAATGTAGCTATATCCCAATCATTAACACTCTTCATAAAACACTTTGTTTTCAATTTGATATATACCTGTGAGAAGAAATCTGAAATCTTCTGCAGTACAGAGCCTTTTACCTACCCTAAAATCAGGTGTGATTTGTATATGTAGCTGTAGTATCGAGGAATACCCTTCTCTCACACCAAGCAATTATGAGCCTCACAACATTATCCTATTACCACCTTATTCCTAAACTAGTGGGCAAATCAGTACTGATAATCCCAATCTATATACAAGCTAAAGTGTATGTGGTGGCAAAGAACCACAATCCCATCATTCACATCATCATCATTCATGGTTCAAGGTCACACTACATACCTACTAATGTCTTCTCTGGCTTAAGGAATCATTTTAAAATCTTCTCCTACAGCAGTCTTTCCATTTCAAATTCTTCAATAGCTAGGCTCCCTCCTGCTCTGTTGTAACTATTATTTCCCAGCCTCAAAGTAATATTTCAGGTATACATACACAGGCAAATGAAAAATTCTTTCAATATACACATGCTTTTTTACAATTTTTAATCCCTTCTTTAGGTAAATTGGGCGGAACTAATGGAGGCCCAGCAGGTCCCCACCAACAACAGGCTTGGGGTTTATCAGGTAATAACCATGATGAACAGCCACACAAAGACAGTCTCAAGGACAAATTCTTACAAGCCAATCAAACTATTTTTTCTATATGGCTATAATCTTTCACTTGAAATCTTAGGAGCAACAATTTCACCTGTCTTACCACCTTAATAAAGTAGTACAAGTCTACTTTATTAAAATTTGAAAACCCTAAATAGTTACCTAGTCAACAAATTACCAGATTCTTGGTTATTTGAGCTTTTATTTTTTCCTTCCTTTTGGAGCTTTCTGTTTGAGCAATTCTGTTAATGTTGTTTTGACAGTATCTTAGAGCCCAAACTAACCTCAAACTCACTCTGCAACTAAGGCTAGTCTTTAACTACTGATTACTCTGCTTCTTCCTCCAACTGCTACCCCATCCCTGACCTTTTTTTTGCTGAGACAGGGTCTGTAGCCCAAGCTAACCTCCAACTCATCATCCTCCTGCTTTTGTCCACTTAGAAGTATTAGAACTGCTGGGATTGCAGACAGGTACCACTGTACCTGGATTTGTTTTTAAGACAGTTTCACTATATTGCCCAGCCTGGTCTTGTTATCTCCTAGGCTCCAGTAGTCTGCCAGACTTTTAACCTCCTTAGAGACTATAGCTGCCTGGCTATCACTCAATCTTTGATTTGTCTGTTTACTCATTAATGGAACACAATATTTGAAAAAACTTATCTTCAAAATAAATTGGACCTCCATCTCTATTTTAAGTAAATAAATTGGATTTGGTAATATGTGAAGGTCTAATTTCTTTCTTAAAATTAAAAAGATATAGAAACTAATGAGCTTGAAGATTATACCTGCTAAGTTTAAAAATGCTACTTATAGGTGCTGGAGTTGCTTTTGAAGATGAACCACAGGTTAGTTTCCAGTACCACAGTGGCTCACAACCATCTTTAACTCCAGTTCCAGGTGATCTGAGGCCTTCTGATCTCTGTGGGCACTAGGCAAGCACACAGTGACAAACAAACACTTTCCCTATAAAAAAAATCAATTAGCCAGGCATGGTGACACAAAACTTTAATCTTAGCACACAGGAGACAGAGGAAAGTGGATCTCTATTGAGTTCCAAGCTAGTCAAGTGTGTGTGTGTGTGTGTGTGTGTGTGTGTGTGTGTGTGTATTGAGACCCTGTCTCAAAAATAAGGTTTAAAATTCACAAGCAATTTTTTCCAAAATAATAAACTATAATACATAGCATGAACCAGCTTTGTTCAAGAGTGAACTACCCAGTGAATCAAAAACCCTGGGAATTTTTGCTCTATAAAAAGTACCAATAGATACTGAGAGGAGGTATCTTACTTGTTGTCCAATCCAAACCATTCAAATCAATTAATCTCAATTCCAACCCCTAGTGATCCTACTCACTAGATTGTTCAAGTAGCACAGCAACACTCCCCATCTCTGCCTCTTTAGGTAGTGGAATTACAGGCATGCACCACACCTAACCTTCATATTTCTGTACCTTCAAACATTAAGATCATTGCTAAGGATCCATTCACATTATTCTTTATACTTAGCTATTAATCATGAAAAGTCAAACAGTAGGAATCCTTTAAATCTTACTTCTCACTTCACAAATTTCCAACTAGAGTTGAAAAGATAGTTCATCACTGTAACCAATCTGAATTTACTCTTAAAAGTTTGACCACAGATGTATTTCTATAGGCTAAAAACCACTGAAGTTGGGCCAAAGGCTTTGGTTAAATGAAAAATGTTATTTCAACATAATGGAGCACTAGACTCTACCTTGATAATTTTATTATGTAGATGTTTCATAACTACAATGACTTCAAAATAGTACTGAAAATTACAATGAAAAAAATTTGAAAGGGGAAAAATGAGTTTTCAATAAATTTCACATTAACCCATAAATCCTAGCCTTAAATTTACAAATGAATTTATTGGAGTCAAAAACAGTTATACATGCTAGTCAAGTACACTACACCAAGGCCATCAATCTACAGCCCTAGCCCTAGTTATGCAGTTAAATGAAGCACCTCACACTAAGCACTGGAAAATGAAAGCAACTTGAATTTATAACTACATACATTAGTTCCTGCCCTGGTCATTTAAAAGCTATATTAACCAGTTAACTACAGTTTCAAGGAAAGGAGTTTGACTTTCATATTTTTACAGCCTAAGAAAACTCAAGAATAGCAGAGTTTCTCAAGGTAACAAAAACTGTATTTTAAGATTAGACCCCTAGTCTTACAAAGAAACCCTGACTGGAAAAAACAAAAACATTAGACTCCTGATCTTTCTCAAGCCCTTGCCATCTCTCAAGCTCAATGCCATTTCCACTACTGGACTAATGTTAATTACGTATTTCTCCCTAACATTCAAAAATAACCTATTTTCAAAACAAAAATTCTAGAGGACAATATCTACCATGTGGGCTCTGGCAGCTGAACTCAGGTTTTCAGGCATTATTGAGCACTCTTACCCACTGAGCTATTCACCTTTCCTGCCAATTTTCTCAAGTATCTTTCCATGACACTTCATAGCACTTCACAACCAGGGCTTTTGGCAAAAGAACCAAAACATCACTTACAGTAACAATTGTATTTCTAACTCTTACAGTAGTTGATTGTGACCTAAGAGTCTTTAAGATAACCATCATCTCCTTTATTGATACTCCCAAGTCACATTTTGAGTATTTCAAAAAGCTTGACAGAAAAATACAAAAACAACTGCATGGAAACTATGCCTGATCTTGTCCAAAAGGCCTTCAAGAATTAGTTGTGAGTAAAGTTAGAGCAAGAGAAAAAATTTACCTATCACATTTTTGTATCTAAAAACTCTTATCAGAATTTTGTTGTTGTTTTCTCAAGACTGGGTTTCTCTGTGTAGCCCTGGCTGGCCTCAACTCACAGAGATCCAGCTGTCTCAGCCTCGGGAGTGCTGGGATTAAAGGTGTAAACCACCAAGGTCTGGCCTCTTATCAGAATTTTTACATTAAAATTCAAACTGGGTCAGTGAGATGGTTCAGGTGGTGAAGGTGCTGCCAATGACCTCAGTTCAATCCCCTGGACTCACATGATGGATGCAGCTGTCCTGTCCTGACCTCAACACATGCAGGCTTCAATGCACACACACAAATAAATGTAATTAAAACTTAAAAGAGGCGGGGGGGGGGGGGGCTCATCCAAAAAGCACACATCGCTCTTGCAGAGGGCCAGTTTGACCGCCAACACCCAGGTCAGGTGACTCACAACTTAACTACGTGTAACTATCTCCAAGGGATCCAATTTATGAGGCTGCCATGGCGCTTGTTATGTACCCACACATGTAACTTTTTTTTTTTTTAATTTAAGCTAGACAAATAAAAATTCAAGCAAACTTTTTAAAGACAAGTTTCCTCCTCCAATTGAAAGGGCTGGAACATCTTAATGGAGGAAGACGTGTTATAACTTCATAAAATGCCACTAAGATTTGCTTTCAAATGTGTTACATGTTTAAAAATATCTTAAGTCGCCAAGGCAGTTTAAGGGCTCCAAGGGGCAATAACCATTTGGATTGCACGGTTTCCTTCAACTCTCCACGGAACTGGGTTATGCTGTTCACATCCTTTCCGTCTCCAGCTAACATTTCTGATAAGGAGAATTCGAGAATAATATAGGTCTGAATTCATTTCCTTCTTTCGTGGGGACAAACGTGGGGTACACTACCAATAAAGAACTCAAGTCATTTGCGAACGTTTTACTTGAAAGCAGAACATTATTGCCCAAACATTTTCTGTAACATTGTGAAGTGAAAACTGTCATGAGCCACCGCCCAAAAAGTGGGTAGTCCAGCAAAGACTCGATGCCAAACACTTCTTAAAAGCACCCCCCCAAAGAAAGAAAGAAAGAAGGAAGGAAGGAAGGAAGGAAGGAAGGAAGGAAGGAAGGAAGGAAGGAAGGAAGGGAGGGAGGGAATTAGAGTTTAGGGCACCGAAGCGTTATTTGTCACTTAGTCGCGGCTTTCTTGGAGATGAGGATGCTGCGGACCGAAAGGCTGTATGCAGCCAAGTCCCAGCACAGCCTCCAAGCCAGAATTGTTCAACTAACAAAGACCTGAGCAGGCTGAGGGCGCGCGGCTCGGGAACCCGGGAGAGGAAGCGACACCCGCCCCCGCCAACCCCACCCCGAGACCCTCCCCAATTTCAGGGTCCAACTAGGAACCCGAAGCCCAAGACGGCATGTCGCTGTCACGATTCGGGAAACATGAGCAATCCGTAAGTAATAAACCCGAGTCCCCAACGACACGCTCCGCGTCCGCACAAGAAGAAACCAGGCCGAAGCCCGCCGCCCGTCCGGCCCCTGCTAAAGGGGACGCCGCGCCGCGCTTTGTTACCATGGATTGGGGCATGCTCCGGGGGCCGCCGCTGCCGCCTTCGTCGCCGCCGCTACCGCCTTCATCGCCGTCATCGCCGTCACCTTCTTCTCCACCGTCGCCTTCTTCGCCATCGCCGCTGCCTCCTTCGCCTCCGTCGCCTTCGCCGCCGCCGCCACTGTCGCTATCGCTACCCGCCTGAGGCGTCGCTTCCTGGCGGCGGTTCTCGCTTTCCTCCGCCGAGTAGACGATCTCTCCCTCCTCGGTCTTGAGGCGCTTGGCCTGGCTCTCGAACTCACGGTCCTCCTCGTACGTCTCCTCCTTCGGGGAAGAGGAGGTGGAGGACATGGCGGCGGTCGAGGTGGCGTGGGAGACAGGCCTCAGATGTTGTCGGTCGGTCCCCGCCGCAGGCTGCGCCTCCTCAGCGCGGGTCTGAGCGGCCCCGGCGTCCTCCGCGGCGCGCTCCAGTAGCCCGTGGCTGAGGAGGGAGCGCGGGCTAAGGGGACGCTTCCCTTTATCTCCCAACCAGCCTCCAGCTTCTTCCTCAGCCAGCTTCGTAGCTCCCAGCCCCCGGGGGAACGCGAAAGTAAGGATGGGGCCGGGGCCGTGGCTTCCGGTCTTCCCTCCTCCCTGATCCGCCGCTCAGGCGGAGCCTCCTCCCAGCCTTCACTGGCGCCGGGCGGGATCGAATCCCTCAGCCAAGAGTTCCCGCCCCCTCGCCGAGATTCCGCTCCCTATTGGCAAGGGAAAAGTCGACCTGGCTTCCAATTGGCTGAAGGAGCCGTTCGTCAGGATCCAGCCTGGACCCTTGCCTGGCTTCAAGTCCCGACGGCGCAACGCCCGCTGCGCGCGCCTCTGTAGCGGTTGCGGCGCCGCGGCGGTTGGCGCTGTTTGGCCTTCGCTTCAGGCGACCTGCCCGCTGAATTTGGGCGAGCGGCGTGTTCCGTAGTCGGGACGGCGGGTGTTAACCGCCTTCCCGCTAATTTGAATGCTTGTCTTCGTTTAAAAAGATGAGGGGGGAAAACCTCTAGAATCTGCGCACACCTACCTACCCCCCATGGCCCTCGAGTGTGTGCAAAATTTCATCAAATATTTTACTAAATATTTGAGGGCAGCTCGAAGCAATTACTGAATGTGGCCAAGTCAACGAGACGATCCACACAGACCCGCGTGGGTTGCATAGGCAAACCGGACCCATTGCTGATTAGACACACCCAAGCCCCCAGCGCAGTTAGATGTTCTCAACCTTCATCTAAAACCCCTCCTTTGGCCTTATTCTTTGTTTCTGGACGATTCATTTCACTGTCATTTTCCAAAATAGGAAACGATAGCACAGCTCTGTTGGTTCTCAGTCCACAACTTGAAGTCTAAGGGCCACTGTAAGAGTTCAGTTGCTTCTTTTTCTCGCTTTTTCCAAAAGGCGTTTTTAACACCTATCTGAAGGTGTTTTTTTTTTTTTTTTAAATTAAGTGCTTAAAGGCAGGAACTATGTTCTTTTTATCTTTGTAATCCAACCCCATCCCACCCCAGCACCCCGCAAGGTTTCAATAGCTATTTGAATGAATGACCTTTGATAAAGATACATTTCTTTCCAGACAGAAGCCTGTCATACCCTACCAGTCTCATTCCTGGAGAATTGCCAAAGATCAGCTGTCTCAGCCCTTCAGTCCCAAGGGTGCCTCTTGTGGGTTGTTTCCTCCTCTAGCCTGTTGGGTTTTTTTGTTTGTTTGTTTGTTTGTTTGTTTGTTTTTCGCCAGAGTCATTTCTTCCCCCAGGAAGATATGTGTATTTTCCACTGATTGTGCTTTTCACATATGCTAGTTTCTGTTTTATACTTTGCATCACTTACTATTTTACAATACCAACAAGTGTTTGTGCACCATACAGCAGCTGTGTGTGAGGCCACTGGCACACAGACAAAACTGAAAGAAATTTATTTTTAAAATTAAGATAAAATCATAGTGTACTGAAAATGAAAGGAGTTTCAGAGCTTGGGACAGATAAGGAAATGTCACAGGTGGGAACTAGTGCACTGAGTAAAGAATGGCAGTAAGAAAAACAGCTGACAGCTTCTGCTTAAGACCTTTTGTTTTATTCAGATGCCCTCCCCAACCAAAGTAAAAGATCCAAAAAATCGTCCTGTACGAAAATTCAAGTACAGGTGTTAAAAACTTGAAATCTGAAAAGCCTAGATTTGGGCTGGAGAGATGACTCAGCAGTTGAGAGCACTGGCTGCTCTTCCAGAGGATCCAGGCTGAATTCCCAGCACCCACATGGTGGTTCACAACCATCCTTTACTTCAGTACCTGGAGACTGCTGCCCTATTTCTGGCACCTCTATAGGCATCACAAACCCACATGGTACACAGACATACATTCATACTTCAGGTAAAACACACATAAAATCAAATGACTAAATCTAAGAAAATAAGTTTAAAAGTGTGGGTTATCTTTAGCATTCTTTGTCCCTATTTAAATATGTATATGAGCCTCTCAGTGGGGGCTCACGCTTTAGTACCAGCACTCCAGAGGCAGATGCAGGTGGATCTCAGTGAGTTTGACACCAGGCTGGGCTACAAGAGGTTCCAGAACAGCCTCTAAAACCACAGAGAAACCTGGTCTCGAAAAACCAATAAATAAATAAATAAATAAAAGTAATAAGTATGTAAATATGTAAGTATTTATTTTGGAGAATGGATGTGATGGGGATGTCCTTCTGTATGCTGTGAATATGTTTCCCTTCTTGGTTGACGAATAAAGCTATTTCAGCCAATGGACAGGCAGGATTTATTCAGGTGGGAAATCTGAACAGGAATAGAGAAAGGTAGTAGGCAGAGGAAACAAAAGATAGGGGTATCATTGGTAAGTCAAGACCATGGAGAGATACACAGATTAATAGAATTGAGTTAATAATTAAGAGAGATCTAGCCAATAAGAAGCCTGAGCCATAGGCCAAGCAGTTTATAATTAATATAAATTGCTCTGTGTTTATTTGGGACAAAAATGGATGCAGGACTGGGTAGGACAGAAACTTTAGCCCCCATAGGCTTACAATGAATGGCATTCTTTGAAGGTTTAGGACATGTGGCCTTATGGGAGGAAGTGTGTCACTGGGGGTGGTAGACTTTGAAGTTTCAGGAGCTCAAGCCAGGTCCACTGGCTCGCTCTTCCTGTTGCCTGAAGATCCAGAAGTAAGCCTCAAAGCTACTACTCCAGCACCACATTTGTCTGAATGCTATCACGCTTCCTGCCATGATGATAATAGACTAAACCTGTGAGCCTATAAGCCAAACCCAATTGAATGTTTTCCTTTATAAGAGTTAACATGATCATGGTGTCTCTTCACAGCAATAGAACACTAAGACACCAGGTCTCACTATGGAACCCTAAATGGCATGGAACTTCCTATGTAATCTAGGCCAGCCTCAAACTCACTGCTGCCTAAATCCTGGGGTTAAAAGCAGACACTACTATTCCTGGCTCTTTGTCCTTTTTATAGTAGTTTTAGCATCAAAGACTGGGAAAGAAAGAGAAATTATTTGTAGCTTGTTTGCCAGAGGAAATTTCTTTGGTAAAGTAGGTAGTTCTTAACATACTTGTATTTCACTCAAAAACAACAGAGAGCTAGAGATATAGCTCGTTGAAAGTGTGTCATGCCCTTGGGTTAAAAGCCCAGTACCAAAAAAAATTTTTTTAATTAAAGGTCTATGTAATGCCAGAACAGCCAGGTCTTTGTAGAGAGACTGTCTCAAACAAACGAACAAACAAAATAGGGTAGTATTTTGTTTGTTTCAGGGAGAGCCTGGCTACTTAAATACACCATGCTGACCTCAAACTCATTTTCTTTATTTATTTGTATGTGCATTGACATTTTTGCCTGTATGTACGTCTGTGCAAGGGTGCCAGACAATTGTGAGCTGCCATGTGGGTGCTGGGAATTGAACCCTGGCCCTCTGGAAGAGTAGCTAGTGCAGTGTTCTTACACTGAGCCATCTCTCTAGTCCCTCCTCAAACTCATTTTCTTCCGTACTTTGCTTGTGCCATCATGCCTAGCTGTTTTATCTATATTTTCACATAGAAGGTGAATTAAAAAATTTATATTCATATCCAACTATAGGCTTGTTGGAACTTATACAAACTTTCCAAATACTTATTAAAACATTTTCAACTTTTTAAAAAGATTTATTTATTTATTTATGAATATAGTGTGCCTGCACACCAGAGCTGATGGGGGATGTCCTCCTGTATATGTTTCTCTTATTGGTTGATGAATAAAACACTGATTGGCCAGTAGACAGGCAGGGAGCATTGGCAAGGCAACCAGTTGAGGATAATTCTGGGAAGAGGACACAGAGAGAGACTGACAAGGGACACCATGAAGCTGAATATGCTGGAACATTCTCCGGTAAGACAAGACCACATAGAAATACTTAGATTAATAGAAATGGGTTAATAATTAAGAGAGAGCTAGCCAATAAGAAGCTTAAGCCAAACAGTTTAATAATTAATATGTCTCTGTGTGTTTATTTGGGGCTAAATGGCTTTGGGACCAGGCAGAACAGAAACTGTCTACAAAGGGCACCAGATTTCATTATGGATGGTTGTGAGCCATCATGTGGTTGCTGGAACTTGAACTCAGGACATCTGGAAGAGCAGCCATTGCTCTTAACCATTGAGCCATCTCTCCAGCCCAACATTTTCAATTTCCAAAGTCCCAAATCTCAAACTACGCATTAGAGACCAAATTAAAATGCAGTTTTCACACTAAATAGAAGTTACCTTTAAACGTTATATTGAACCAGAGTATCCTAGTTGCAATTTAATATGGAGGTGAATTAAATTTCCTTATACAAATTAAAATGGTAAATCTATAATCTGTTAACCACTTCCCCAAATTACACTGCTGGTAGAAATTAGAGAATGAATTACTGTCATGAAAAGTGACTATAAAGTAGATCTACACATCCTTTGTAGTAACAGACACAGTCATTATTTCATTCATGAATATCCCTGGCTCTGGTATCAGGATTGGGTTCCAGACCTAGACAGAGAATTGGGTTCTTTGTTTATTTTTTGAGACAGGGTTCTCTGTGTAGCTCTGGCCATCCTGGAACTCACTCTTAGATCAGTTTAACCTCAAACTCAGAGATTCTTCTGCCTCCTCCTCCGGCAAGAGCCAAGTTCTTTTTTTGCTTTGGATTGGAGCCTGTCCTGGAATTAACTCTGTAAATCAGGCAGGTCTCAAACTCACAGAGGTGCTGGGACTCCCAAGTGCTGGGACTAGAGGCATGTGCCACCAATGCCAGACAAGAGCCAGGTTCTTAACTACATCTCTAGAGAGGTTTTTTGTTTGTTTTAAACTTTCCTGAAACTGATTAATTATAAAATGGACAAAGTAATAATGCCTCTGGTAGAGAGCTTGTGTCAGAATTTCAGATTTTATCAACATGACCCTTTAGTGATTAGCATATGAAATGGCACATAAATAATGGTCATTATTATTGCATGTGAACTATTGTATATGTGCATACTTATATCTCTCAGGTATGTATTGTATCAACTTGATCA